TAGAGGAATTTCATATGTTTAATGGATTATGATTATATATTTGATGAGAAAGGGAAAATTTTTAAAAGTTTCAATGACGTGTATATAAAAAGAGAAAGGATATAGAATACGGGAAAGAGAAAAAAGAGTCAGGAAATCAGGTAGCGGCTGAGGGGATATTGTTCGTTACATTAGATTAGGTCGATGTCAGGCGAACAACATCCGCATGAGAAAAACGCCTCTTCTTCGACATGATCTTTTTTTTTTTTTTTTAAATGCGATCTGTATTTAATATTTGGGAAGTCCCGAGGTCCTTGATCCTTTTTCCCGTTTCCTCGATGTGCGTCCTTTTCTCCTCTAAAATTTCTTCTCTCTTGATGAGAGGAGGAGAAAAACAAATAATAATAAAACAGTGACTCCCTTTTTTAATTAAAAACCAATGTAGAGCACCAATGCACTATCTCTCGTATATTGCTAGCGATGTTAACCACTATACCCTGATCATCGGTTGATTCATGTGGCTGTTGCTCTTGACTATTTTGGCTGTATATGGTCGAGGAATGTCGTATTATATCCGAGGGCAGGTGAGCTGACGATGACGATATTGATGGGGATTTGTCGAAATCAAATAGTCTCGAGTGAAGGTGTGCGGACGATGATGATATTGATGAGGGTTTGTCAAAATCAAAGAGATTAATATCCAAATCATCTACATCAAAATCATCATCATCGAAATCATCTATCCAACTTGGGGACGGTGAACTATGTATAAATGAAGATGAATTTGCTGACGTTGCGGGAGGCGTAGATGAAGCCGAATTAGAGGAATCCGCGGGCTTACGCCGCGTGTACAAAGCCGAATACTCATTGTTACACAGCCTGTCATACTTTAACTTTGTGGGAGCTAACTTGAATATTGTCCTACGATCCTTCCTCTTCTTTCGACTTATCTTCATCTCTAAACCATCATCGCTGCTGCTTTCCGAGTCTGAGGCGTTAGGTTGATCGTCATCTCCATCAGTCGAATCAACCGCGATACATTGTTCAACTTGATCATTAAATCGAATGTGATGTCGCGGCGGAGATTGATCCCTGCGACTAGTCGACAACATAATAGATTTGGTGGGACCGGTTACCGGCGTGGTGGGTCCAGATACTGAAGAACAAGTTGAGGCGCTGTCACAGTCGCTATCACCGTCGTCGTTTTGATTCTTTTGATACAGCTGGGTATCCGAGTTGCTCGCCACCAACGATGGATATTTACCCTTGACCGGAGGACACAGTATCTCGGATATTGACTTCTTTTTTAAGCATGATTTGTGACAACCCGAACTCAAGTTATATTCATTCACGGTGGCGGTTGACAATTTTTGTTCATCCTCCTTCTTGCGAGGCAGCCAAGCGGTGTGCAAAGGTCCGTACAACCACGTCACATCGCTATCTTTGTGCCTACACAACGATGAAAATACAAAGGTGATTAGTGATCATATTTGCCACCAAAAAAAAAGAGGTTTCAACGATGATGCGATGAAAGAGGAGATGGGTACCAATTGAGCAACTCGGGATTGACAGTTTTAAGTTTGTATTTTTGTTTAGCCCAGGTTCTCCACGAAGCGTTCTCGAGCCGAACGCCGTTATCAATTTCCTTCTTCTGCTTTGACATTACTTTCCACGAAGTCCAGATATCATCCTCCACTTTCCAATCGTGCGAGAGGTAATCGACACAAATCTCGGGTGGGCGCTGGAAGCCAGGAATTATACCATTGAGGTTATCCTCGGGAGTCATCACTGAAGGTTCCATCGAACAACTCCTTTGATGAGTTAGATATTGCTCCTTGTTGGAATCGGTTTTTGAAGCCGTTTTGGGAGAAGTTGATTCGTTGGAAAGAGACTTTATTAAATTCTTGCGGGCAGATGCCACGCCTTTCGTTGATATTATTGAAGGCAGCTTGATGAATAAACAGTGAGAATGTCGTTTATAAGGGTCCTCAAGTAACAGTCTTTCGAGTGTACAGAGGATGTAGTCAAAAGGTGAAGGTGCTGCCTGTTGAAGACAAGACTGGAAGGGAAGGGATGGGATGGGATGGGATGGGATGGAGGGATGAAGGGCGAGAAGGATGCGGGGGAGTGAAGGTCAGTTTACGTTGGACGCTTTTTATATATATAACGCACAGCTAATAATAAGCCAAAATCTCTTTTATCGCCGAAATTGGTTTCTTTGAAGGGTAATTAGAAAGAGAAAATTTTGAGAAAGGAGTAACGTACTGTTGTTATCATAGACAGATTCGCAAGATTAAAGGGCAATTGCAATACGTAAAGGGAGCAACGTCCAAAGAAGCGAAAACAAAAAAATCTGGGCAAGTCAAAGTCGACGAGCTTTTATCACGGCGAAAATGGAAAGGGTACCTTTTTTAAATATGTATAAATAAGTATATGTGTGTGTACATATACAATAACCCACAATTAGATCATATTGTTCCTTTTGAAAGGAAAATTTTTTAAATCTGTTGTTTTGTGAAATAAATGTAAAAGAAGCAGCAAGACGACGCTCGAGGCCAAAAGGACAAAAGAATTTATATAAAAATTTTTGTACCGCAACAAAAAAAAAATTTTTTTTAAACTGAATCAATTGTATTTTATTTATACGGGTGAGAAAAAATTTTTTTTTATATGGTTGAAATCAAAAAAAGAAAAAAGAAAAAAAAAAAGAAACACACACGCACACACATATATATATATATACGTATATATCGTATACGTATACACTTATGGATAGGTAGTGTAGGTAGCCAAGTCAAATTATAGGGTGATAGTGTAATTTATTACACATATATATAGAAAAATGTGTGTTATTTATTATTAAAAACGTGCCAGTTATCATTAATAATAAATAGTAGTGGTGAAAAATTTTTTTTTATTATTATTATTTTTTTTTTTTACAATAGCGGAATTCGCATGAAAAAAAACTTAATTATGTATAAAAGAACTTATCAACCAAATCGGTCTCGTATAATAATAATAGTGATTATAGTAATAATAAATAATAATATAATAATGGATGTATCATTATTATACAAGAATAGGATACGCATCTAATCACCCTATCAATTTACGAAAAGATTTTATAAGATAGTCGGAGGGAATTTTACGTTGCAATCGATATCATAAATCATGCTGAGGATGACCCGGCATTGGAGGGGAGGAGGGAGACTATTTAGACTACCACGGAAGCAAAATTATGGTGGCAGGAGAACTGAGTTGGGATTTACATGATTCACGATGGCCGTTGTTTACCAAGAGACATCCTCCATGAGTCACCGATTTTAACCAATGGAACTTGATTCCGAATTCTTCCAGTCCAAGGAACAAATCGGATGCATTAATTTATTCATTCCTCGCAAAACGGGATAACTTATCTCCAGAAGGGGGCATATCCCATGTAGCTCAAAGGGATGAAAATTTAATTTTACCTGAAAATTCGTTATTACTCATAATTCGCTGGCTAACACTTTCATCTAGTCTTGGCTTTTCAAATCCATTTATCATCATTGTCCACCCATGATGAATCCGATTTTTCCCGCAAGATGTTACGAAAATGGCATCAAATCAAATGTGAAATCGGTTTATATAATAAGACGATGTTTGACGATTGGATTGGTTACTCTGGTCGATGATTCATGCGATGAACATTATGATCAAGCAAGATTCTCTCTTTCAACTAACTGGCGAGGGATTAATTGGATGACGATGATCCCTTCCCAATTCTCGTTAATCTCTCATTTTGTCACGATGAACAAAATTGTTACCGGCAAGTAAACAAACCATCTCAGAGAAAGCAATATGTTACATAACAGATGCATGAGTCACTGGGCACGCATTTCCACCGTGGCATGCTAGAAAACAATAACGAGGAGACGCTATTGGAGTTGGTCTAGGATCACGCAATCTACAGGATAAATTTACGCAATTAGACAGCCTTCTGACGAATAATTATCATCATTGTATTAAACTAAAGGAGTAAACCTAAATAGCAAACTAATGATAACATTCAGTGTGATCACGTGATGGAATCCGTATATAAATTTTGCATTTTTTATTTTATTTTATATATACAGTATATATTTTTTTTTCTCGTAGCCCCAAGTTTTAGGGCAACAAGCTTCGGAAGTTCATAGAGTTGTCCTTTCTTGGTTCATTTCGATGGCTCATTGAGCGCAAAAATCTTTAGCAAAGGTTGATCACAAATAAACAATTAGATGACGAAACCATGCAACTTTGGTTATAATTAAATCACAAAGGACAATCAGAGTTAGTATTTGAGGAAATTAAAATTCGTTTAAGTCGTAAACAGTCTCAGGAAAGTCTTTGTGTGTGCACAAAGGGGAGTATGAACTTCTGAACTTGCATGCGCAAGTTTGAAAATATGGTGGTTGTTGATCGAACCCAAAGGTTAATGCCAATGCAAAGTATTACGTTCTCAAGTATTGGTAAATCCTCGGCAACAGATCTGCACAGAAATTTGGAAATTTTGGTAATTCTTTTCTTTCTTTTCTTTCTTTTTCTTTTCTTTTTTTTATTGATATACAGTATATGCTTTTCTTTTTTTTTTTAAAGTACTACTTATATACGTACATTGCAGTAGAATTCTGGGCACTAGAACGTGCGTGCGTACGTAGTGAGATTAACAGTACCCCCTTTAAACTATGACGATATGAATAAACAGTGATCTACTTTTGATCGGCTTTTGCATCATGAATGGGTTCAAATTGGACTAAACCATTTTATTATCATTGCGTCCGCTGGAATTAAAGCCCGAACATTGATTAGACTTCGGACTAGCATACATCCCCTTTTTTCCTTGTGAATGCCGAGTCAATAATCGAACATTTGGTTCTTGTGTATTCATTTGAATCCGAGAAAAAAGATAACCAACACACTATGCCTTGTTTTACCGTGGTGAATAACAATCAGTCACAAATTGTGTCATATTAACAAATCGTATGCAAAGGTTCGCTTCGAGTCGAGGTGTAGCTCCAAACTATTGACGGTAATGGAGAGTTCTATAATATGGAATAGGAAAGTCGACAAACCTTAAGAAGCGAGCGCAAATTACCGTGACCGCGTAATCGCCTTTGTGAATTAATGACCAATTTCAAACCGGGGTTGGATAAATGATGAATATATGCGTGTATGAATAGTATTGAAATCAATAAACTACTATCATTAATCATGAATTACCGATTGCAAGTTGTGAATTAGAATTGCACAGGACGTGAGGCAATATTCTTTTCTCACACGATCGGGAAAGTCGAAAAGAACGTGCAACATTCCTCGAGAAAAGAATATGTATGTATGATACGTAACACTCTTTTGACGACCGAATCCAGAATGCGAATTGGTGCCACACAACACGCACAGGTATGTTAGAACCCGCAGTAGAATTATCTGAGAAATCACCGTGTCAGGTTTTTACCGAATCCGGCTATAACGATTGTATTTGATTACCGCGGCGTAGTGTGGCTCAGCATCGAAATGTGAAGCATTGTTTTAAAATATTTTGTGTGCCAAATCTAATTTATCACAAATATTTTATTAAACCAGGAAACTCATTCCTTCTTATCGCGTTTTGTTTCCCTCCAATAAACAACCCCATAAATTGAATTCAAAAATGTGCGAAAATATCAAGATGCAATGAGTGACATGCAACTAATTTTAAGAACTTTACGAAATCAAATTCATCCGTATCTGCTTCAAAGCACATTATCTTGATTACATGCATCACCAGAAGATTGAACACAAATTTCTCTTCACTCTCGATGGCCAGCAAATGATTTTGTATTTGTAAAGATAACGAATCGAAAACAGTCCTTGACCAGATGCCTATAATTCGAACGAAATTTTTGATACACTGATAACGAGATAATGTATTTTCCTAACCCGGCAATCTATATGATCAGTTCCTTTTAAAGTTTTCAGTATCTTTGCATGAATTTAAAAAAGAAAAGTATGACTAGACGAGATATGAATGATAGTGAAAACAAAATTTGTGTATTATCGATAACAACAACAAGAAAAATTCCGCCTAGAGTCCGTCAAAACGTCTGGATGATAGACCGTGGCACAACAGAGTATCTAACGGTTGCACGTTTGCAAACCAAAAACCAATGATTTCCCCACCAGATAGAATTCCTTTATTTAGATAGAAGTTCCTCCAGAAAACCTGACGATTTACTCTCACCAACACCGTTTCATTCTGTCCACCGATTCTCGTCAACAAATCGACATTCTACAACTTTGTATGAAGAATAAAAGACAATCGACCCGAGCATTATTGTCAATGTAAACAAATTCATGTAGCAGCACAAGCAAATCTCGGTTTTTTGAAGTGAAAGGGAACCGTCCCAAACCAGTTTTCGAAAAAAGAGTCCAATACTCATTGATAGTGCCGTGTGAACAATAATTGATAACAATGCGTTATAGTAAACTGTTTTCCGAAAAGAAAAAAAATCAACAAATCATTGTTATTCTGGTACGATGACAAAAGGAACCCGGAACGCCTGGTACCCGATTGTCATAATTTGAAACGGTGAATACAAACATATCTCCGTTGCTACCTTGCCCAATTCTTAAAATAACTTTGGCTACTTCGCCCCAATTCTGATAAAAAGTGTGTACATATTTGCTCAAGGATAATTAACAATCTTCTCCTTTGAGTTGCTAGCACATACCCGCTAACTATATACAGTATGCACAGAAAAGTTTTTTCAAATGTTACTAAGAATCAAATATATGCGTACCGGGAACGGCCGTCCAAATTGGACAAACGAAAATCGCGGAAAACAAAAAAAAAAAAAAAAAAAAAAAAAAAAAAAAAAAAAAAATTTAAAAAAAAAAAA